TTTTTTTCTTTTCTAAAATTTTTATTAACGGTTTTTTCGTCTTTAACAAAAAAATTTTTGTTCTTCACTTTTTTTTTTTCACTCAGCAAACTCTAGAGACGGTAAATGTCCCCGTTCACATGTACAAATCGTTTCTCTTTTTACAAATCCTGTCTGATTAGAAAGAGAAATAGGGCTTTTACGACTTCCAACTGAGGTAAATCCAACAAAGACTGACTACCGTATGTTTACAAACACTGACCGTCTCAGCTCAAAACACTATACACACTACCATAAAATCTGCTGTTTTCCCCCAAATGCTTTCCTATCGGCCGTTCAGGCTTCAAAAAACTTTTAATGTACTGAAATTTTTCGATGACACTCACTCTAGACCACGTAAAGCGTTTCCTCAACATGAAAAAGGAAAAAAAAGCCAAAAATATTCGTAGACGGGAAAAAACTCAACGAGAGGAGGAACAGCAGGGAAGTTGTCAATGGAAAACAAGAGAATCACAACTGTCGCCAACCACAAACTCCAGGTAAGAACAAAGAGGCCCATAAGAATATTAAAAGGAACTGAGCGGTGGTGGTTCATTATTTACAACTTTTTTAACAGATGAAAAAAAAAAAAACAAAAAAACAAAAGAAACACTCCAAGTTCTTTGAACAAACACCTCGCTAAGGAGCTCAAAAAATCTGCCAATAAATCTTGACTGTCTTCTAAAACACTCATAAAACTCATTATCTGTTTTCCAACTAATTCTGGAAAACTAAAGATAAAACAGCGGCGTAAAAAAAAGCCTTCATCTCCTCCAGAAAGACAACATAAATAACGTGAAATCAGAAGGAATGAAAGAAAATAACCAATTACTCTCGAATTCTTTGTTGTCCAATAATTAAAACAAAAAAAAACTTTTCAAAAAAAACATGGATTGTTGTAGAGAACATTTTGTCTCGTCATACAGTCCTCACCTGCACTATTACAAAGACAAAAAACAAAAATCAAAACATAAAAAATAAAAATAAAAGAAAAACTAGTAATATCAAAAGTTCTTAAAAAAAACTGGAAAATGGAAAAAAAATCAAAGGAAGGGACAAATTAACAGACATTAAAATTACAGCATCATCAGGGGAACAATAAACTTAAAACACGAATTTACGGCTCACGTTCCAAAAAGCTAGCAACAAAACTGATGTTGTCTGCAGCTGTCAACAGCTGCCAAAAGACGCCATCAAAAAATCAGCGACAAAACGCTCCTAGCGTTGCTGTAGTCAATGTTCGTCAAACAGTGTAGCTCTGAGCTCTATCCAGTCCAAAGTTAAACTACGACTCAAAAAACTCGCTGATAAAATTCTTCATCACCTTCCACAGATGAATTTGTTCACAGAAATAACCTGAAAAATTATAATAGCCGGCAAAGACGACATTGCGTCCTGTAAAATTTATCTGCTTTCGTAAATACCTCTTATCGCTCCACGAAATACGTATCAGATGAAATTTTTTTTAAGTTCAACCAGGATTTCTATTGAAAAACCCCACAAACTTTAATAAAATTAATCTAAGAAAAAACTTTTCAATTAAACAGCCACAAAGAAATAATGGGTAAAATCCCTCTTTAATCTAAACTCTCTGCGGTAATAGAGAAGAAAAAATTACGGAAAGAACTATAAGGACAATTTCTTATTAACAATTATGAAAATATTTCCACTCATTAACCCATTTACTTCTTTTACCTTTGACAACTCAGCACCAACACTACAGAAAGGCCAACTGTCTACTCACCTCTCTTCGATAATATATTTTTCACTAAAAACTGTTATTCGTTCGGTCACTAATGTCGTACTTTCGACCAAAACCTTCCTAGCTTTTCTTTCTTCCTCTTGGCTTTCTGTTTTCCAGACGTCACCTGGACAGATCCCAGACTTATGCATGTGTCGAAGTTCCAAATTTGCTTTCAGGTACAAAATAGACTTCAAGCAGTAAAACAAAACCCCCAAATTTTTCGCGCTTATTCAGCTCTCTGTTCGGTCCCATTTTTCTTCCATCACACCAAATAAATGTCTGCTTCAATTTCGGTTTTCTCTGCACACTTATACAAGTTTAATATATATAGTGATAACACTAAGCAATTCAAAACTTGACGCCGTCTCCCACACCTAATTCTAAAGCGGCAAATCTTCCCTCCTTCATTTCGAGCTCCGAAACTAAAATTTAGCTTCTACCCAGTATATGCTCATTATCGCAGCTACCAGTGCTAAGAAAACTAAAAAAAAAGGAAAAAAATACAAGAAGGAAAAGACTCTACATTAAAGAGGACAACAAATAAAGCAAGGAAAATAAAAAATCATGACACTGTGGATGCTGCCGATCGTAGTAACGCCTTGAAAACAGCGACACGTTTTATTACGAGGGCCATTGCCAACAGCACAACGACCACTGTATAACCACGGTGCCTCCAAGACTACCATCTGCATGATCACTACCGGCTGCTTTTGAATTTTGTACAATCAGTTTTTGAGCAGCAACGAGGCATATCACACCTTTAATTGACCATCACTAAAAAATAAGGATAATTTGATGACCATGCCACCGAATAACCAGTAGCATGAACACCTAGCTGCAGATGATCATACTAGCAATGAATTACGTCACGTATAATTTTAGCCAATAATGTATGTTCAAAAATATAAAAAGAAAAATAATAAGGTGAGCGAGTGATGCTGATGTGTTTACGTGAACCTGGTTGCTCTTGATCACCGTAATAGCGCAGCAGTACGGTAGCTGCGTGCATGTGTGCATGTCCACGGTCGAGCATGTGCAAGAAAAGACTAGTGCGGTTTAGAGTGGAAGCTCTGTCAGCAGTAATTTACGGGGATCGCTTGCAAGGAGTTTGTCACCCCCAAAGCAGTGTCAGGAAGCCAATAGGAGTCCTCTGGGTCATCTTCAGCTTTGCTGCTGCTTCCAGCGGAGCTTCTTTGACGGATTTTCAGCAGTCTTTACTGTCACCCCACGCTAGTCGCCGCTCTCCGTCGTCACCATAATTCTCCTTCAACAACAAAACATAAGCCTTCACTATGTATGACTATCTCAGATTCACTGGCTGCTCGTCAAAAGAAAAAAAAATAATAATAATAAAAAGGCACAGAAGTGTTTCGATAAATGAATAAAAGGAAGCTTAAGCATTTTAAAAAAGTGCTAAAAAAAACAGGAGAAAAAACATAAATAAATCAAAAACAC